GGTAAAGCGAAAATTGTCGAATCTCCAATGAATCAACAAGTGTTCGATTCAGATTTCAACATTAACGAGGAGAAAGAAGAAAATTAGTGATTGTGGTGCGGGTTTATCAAATCACGTAGTGAGATCGTTATTATTATGTAAAGTCGAAATATGTTGGAATTGTCAAGTTTTGAGTTTTCGGAGTCATGTAAAGTAGACATAGGTTGTTTATCTAATGTATAACTACATTTTGTTTTGGATTTTGCAATCATTCAGAATTGTGTATTTTGTTTTTATATCGTTTTAGTGTTGTTTATATCTTGTTTATCTTGTGTATAACTATACATAAAATATTAGAGAAATGTTAGACCATGTTTATCTTATGTATAACTATACGAGAAATATTAGAGAAATATTAGACCATGTTTATCTAATGTATATATACAGTATATCTAAACATATATTTTCGTGGTTATGAGGAAGTATATGTACAATTATACTTAACATAAACGGTAGATAAAGAAAATATTGTCACACACAAGCCATTGACGAATATATTGATTTTATTTGCCAAAGATTTGCTTTCTCATACCAAACATCAAATCACTGCAAAAACTCAGATAAGCTGAACTGAATTCCCCACCGTCACAGTTACGTTGCCGTAAGCAGAGCCCATCTCGCCACCGCCAAAGCACACCCCATCTAAAACACCAGCCTTGGCGTACCTCCTATGCCAAACTAAAGAAAGTACCATCGCCCATCTCGCAACCGCCAAAGCACACCCCATCTAAAACACCGGTCTTGGCGTACCTCCATATGTGAAACTAAAGGAAGTACCATCGACAACAATAATAGGCCTATAATGATGTCACCCTTTAATTGAAGCATTAAGACACATTGACACTTTTATCTTTGAAAGTTTCGCTGACCGCAATATCAATATTCATGTATCCATCGACCAAAACTCCAAGTTTCTGGAGTGTTTGTTTCTCGTTTATCTTCCGTATACTTCACTGTTTTGGAGTGTTCTGGAGTGTTTATTTCCCGTTTATCTTCCGTATACTTCACTGTTTTCAACATAGTCTGCAGCTGGTTCGGTGATTCCTATGTAATATCATCGTCTTCCGAATCTTTTCGAGAACACATATTTCTGAAAATAAATAATTTATCACCCGATGCCACATAATAAACTATCAAAATTAAAGAACAAAAAACCACTATTGTAATATAACACCACATAAAAAACACCAACACGAAATTACCTTCTCAAGTTTTTCTATCAACGAAGATTTCACGAAGAACAATATTTGAATCATAGGAGATTTCACGAATAACGATTTTTTTGCTTTCCAATCCCGTTCAGAGCCTTTTTCTTTGTTCAACTGGATCAAATTTTTTTTCCCCAATTCAAGGAGATCTCGACAGGAGCGTGCTGTGTAAATCAGTCGCCAATATAAAACTATGTCTCATAATTTTGGAATGATTATTTGGAAAATATGGGGATAATAGCGTCGGTTACGGAGGAGTGGACGACTGCGAGATTCATGGGCTGAATATGATGAATCGTATTTTTGATATTATTTGCATCTGGAAATCCTTATATGATAAAACTTCTTTCATACCGTAAATATAAAATTAAGATGACTAAGAGACACTGATGCGTAAATTTCCCAATTATTTATGGGAAATTTTCATCCATGCGGTAAGATAAATAAATATTTTCAATTTTACCATTATTTGAAAGTATTTACAACTATACCTAAAGAAACTAATTTATTTATTATATGTATCAATAT